TGCACAATGGCCAGTTTCTGTCTGAGGAATTTGCGATGCCATTACTGAAGATGCACAAGGCCTTTATATTATCAAAGTTTAAATGCCGGCGTGATATCCGTAATCAATTAAAATATGTTCCAACACCGAAGCAATATATTGTGTAGCTAATACTTTTCCCGGAATATTAGTTGATACCAGTGACTTGTTCCTGAAGGCGCACAAATTACGCAACAAAAGGCAACGAACCACCCGCTTGTGCATAGCAGCTGTGCTAATGCAACACAGTGCAGTGTGTCTTGCGAATTTAGTTAACGCACAGAAGTGCATTTTCTTAAACGTAAAACCAAGTGCGTAGGATTTAAGCGCAGAGGAGGCGAATGAGCAACACATAATTTCAACAGGTAGGTTCCATTGCGAGTACTCACGAATGCGCACATACCGGCCAAAGGTGTTTCCAAATTAGGTCACTGCTGGTTTGCAAGTCATCCTTCGCAGAAGATGCTAACAGAATTTTATCATGTGCACATCCCCTTCCTTTCACTGCTCCTACCAAATTTCTACTCTACGATACTAAGACTTCGCACGTTACTCAAAGAACGCCAGTATTCAAGTCGGCCTGTTATTGGAGACTCTCAACTTTACATAAATTATGTTCCGATCTATGAGTATGGTTTCAAACAGTGAGCAACCCATGGACGAATATATAGTACTTGGAACTCATCAGTTGGATGTACAAAGACAGATCCCGAAAATCTTATGTTTTACTTCATTCTCCAGGGAGTAACTTTGAATCAGCTTTTCTATTTGCCCAACAATTCTGATTTTATAAGTAAAAGATTTAACTAATTCCAGCAAACAGGCAGGTGACTGCCTTCAATTTTTGTTGAATTTTGTCGTGGGTTCCTGCAATAAGTAAACCTAAACAAAACCAGTCAACAGTAGTCGGAGTGTGTACGGACGCCCGATCAACATTTTCGTTCAAAAAATGACCTTGCCAAATCTTGCGTTACTGCACGGTCGCTACTCTAATCAGTGTAACTAGATGGCAGTAAAGTTTATTTTAAGTGATCCGGTTCGCGGTTTCTTCGAACCACCGAAGGCATGAAATCAGAAACTTTATGTTGAATAATGGAAGTTCAAGAACTCGAAAGTGTATTTTACATCTGTACCATGTTCCTATTGCATGGAAAAATGAACAGACTCATAAGTCTACACATCTCACGTTTAAGAACCAAACAACCGGTAATCAGTCGTGTGAGAAATGTGTTCTGGAAAGTCGCTAAGAAATAAACTAAATATGGTAAAGTGAATCATGATTTCGAATTGTGAATGACGTTGGGCATAGTTCAGTTCTAGGTGAGCAGAAATCATTTTGGAATGTGATGGCTAGTAAGGGATTGAAATAGATGCACTCTTCTTGGTTGATTCTGTCAAAGTGGTGGGAACATGAAAACTTTGGTGCGCGTTTCGTTAAAAAAACTGTCATTATAAATCGAGTGAACTGCCTTTCATGAATTCTTAAGCAGAAATTAAATAACACACACATGAATCTCGATTTCTTTGACTGTTGATATCCAGATGGTAAGCACTGGTTGGTGTTTGCTGCGTGTAAATTGGCATAATATTAAATGTGAGCCAATAAATGTAAATGAGCAAGCATTTGTCCTATTAGACAGGCCTATAAAATTTACCTGCCAAGTTAGGTACCCAAAAGGGCAACAAAAGCATGTGTACTACAAACTGAACACCAAATAAATGAGGGTCTTTACTGACTCTTAGTACAGATGTCATCTTAGCTTGGGATAAAGGAAGAAAACTAGCTGTAAAGAAATGGTGTCAGGTTGCCCACACACATGAATCTCGATTTCTTTGACTGTACACATAAGCAAATTTTTTACGCAATTTCATAAAACATCACAGCTGAAACGCAGCAGATAGGAGAGATCCTCTCGCGCCTAACCAGTAACAGAAGTAACACTCCCGCTTTTGGATACACGTCAGTTCCAAGGTCACACACAGTGTAGCAGTTTGCAGTCGCCCTTGCCAAAACACGTAGAAAAATGAGCGTCTGAAAATATGAGATCTGAAGTTCAGGCATAATATTTATGTTTAAAACGTGAAAACAGGCTTAACATTGACAATCAAAGCCCGTAATAACCAGGTTGCTTCTGCTAAAAACCGCAAATCATAGGGCTCTCGCAACCCGCCATTTATTCAAACCTTGACCAAAACGATGAGGTATCATTCCCTGCTGAAGACAACCTCCCATTAAAAACACAGTAGCAATTATTCTTACCAACATACGAATCAACCACATCAAACGCCAAAGGTTATAGCGCCCGCGCACATTGCATAAGCGAAAAACCTTCACCCATTTTTGATAATAGGCCAATGGAATGGTCGTTAGATCGGTCTTCCCCAGCAGCTGGACATGGCCGAGTGATTCAATCAAAAATGAAATCTCCGCGTGGATTTTCGAACACCAGGTAGCTTTTGCGAACCAACGTATAACGCAGCATAAGTATGACGTCAGCCGTTCTATAACTGATCGTGCTTGCAATGGGGCGGCACTCTTCTTCATACGTTTAAGGAAACGGATTCGATTTCGTGTGCCAATCTATCACCAGATGAACAACAGAGCATATGCATAATCCCCGTATCAGCTACCGCCTCCAATATTATAGTTACGCTTCCAACTAGAAATGGTGCTTTACATGATTGCATTCATATCGCATTCAAGCCATGAAAATGGATCCATATTAACAGGTAATTCGAAGGTGACCCATTTGCGCTCAGTGGGTACGCATATCGCTTTGCGTTTTGTTGCAAATAATATTCACATCCCGTGTGTAAACATTGAATACGCTAATTACGTGGATTTGGCATCATGTTTCGTTCCCCGTTGCTTTGCTTGTTACTGGGATATTTTGATTTTTTACACACCAGTGACGTTAAGCAATACGAGTTGATAGCGAAGTTTTTCCATTCCGGGTAGCCAACATGACTAAATGAGTAACGGTTGTCGATATTCTTACATGCATGCGTCCGGAGAGCATATGCATACAGATACCTTCTAGTTCAAATAAGGGACTAAACAAACAAGAGCATCTATATGAAATTTCAGGCGAAACGAATACCTGGAAGGTACAAAAAAATCCTACGGATTACAAGCAAGCAAACAAAGAAGGACGGATTAAAACAAAGCGATCTACATAGGTGTTATTATCTCTCCTTGAAAGCCCCACAGGCACCATGAACGAAGTAAGATATACCCGGTGCTTTCAATTATATTAGGAGACAAATTGACGATTCCTGTGTACTAAACATCATGCAGCAGTTACCTGTATTTACCGTCACCAAACACATTGATAATGAAGCTCCACATTAGAGACGTTCACTTTTATGCAGAAGCCTTTGTATTACGCCCAGAATTACCATGAAGCAGGCTCGAGATTGAATTTTCTACTCAGCTCCTATCACCATATCGTGCACTCGATTCACCAAACAAAACGGGCATTTTTGAGCCAGGGATGTGTTGTGTGGGCAACCACAATTGGGATAGTCTGAACACCTTCACAGAAATTTGCTCACCGCTGCGTTTGCTGTCGCACTGCTGACACCGTTCATATTTTGTTGCACCTAACAAAATTAGGCATAGCTTAGCAAAATTTTTCCCATCACCATAGGCAGGAATACGTTCAGTTCAAAAATTTCATTTTTGCAACCACGCTTCATGATTACTACTGTAAACGGGAGTTTATTTTGAGTGAACGATGCCCAGGATGATGCATATTTGCGCATCTCAAACTGATGAAAGGACAACACTATGCGTGGTAGCTACAGCCCTTGGGATATATGGGTAACCATTTAGATAACGGATCCCAGATTATCGCAGAGAGGTCAATTATTGACTAGCCCCGGATCAAAGAATGTTGGTATGAGAAAACATTGCAAAATTCATGTTACTGTTTCAAAACCTGATGTGTTGCCGTGTCGAGATGAACTGAGAATAGAAAGATGACGTGATTTTTGTTGACAATGTTTAGGTGTATTTCCACACAGGTAAACAACACGAATAATGAAGTCGCTACTAGAATTTTCATACTCAAAACAGTGGGGCAGTATATACGTTCATTTTAAAATCGATAGGTACTTTGTCAAAAAGTCTCAGCCTCAAATTAACCTGTGGAATTCTGAGCCCGTTTATTGATTCGCGACTTACAAGATATTATTATCACTTGATGAACTATCATTTCACCTTCTGGGTATATAAATCGAAATAACATTATTCACTTTTCCAAAAGAATTTAGCCAGTTACAGGTAAACGTAAAACTAAATTGCCGTGTTTCATAATGGCTTCAGTGCCATTGTGCCAGGAAATCAGAAGTTACCACAAATACATGCACATGGATAAAAAGCACCCAATCGCCCATGTAATCACAGAGCCCGGCTTCATTCACAGTACCACCGAAATCCCTTCACCCAGGTTTACCAAACCGAAAGTTTGCTTGTCCAATGCTTTGTTGCATACATTTTTAACCGTTTCTGCTCTTGCCCAAGCTACATGCTTCGTAGGTCGTTTATGGTCATCTGTAGTACGTAAGTGTAGGAATCGCTTATCTACCGGAAACGAAGCTGCGAAGAGGGAGAATGTGAGCATCGTTAAGAATGTTCTTACAGTAGTTCGCCAAAAGATTGTGCGCACTCTCTGCTCACTTGTTGACCAAGACGCGCGTAGTTTTACCGGTTGTTTCGACTGTAGACGGTGAGAGAGCAATTCCGCTTCTGCATCACCTGTTCAAAAACAACAAACTGCGTTTGTATTCAGAAAAGCAGTTCCCAGAGTAAGACCTCTAAAGTGGATCACTTTACACATTTTTGGAATGGGTTATCCGGAAGATTTCGTCCGCGTGATTCCGCCGAACGTTCTACCTATTCACTCTAGTGATGGCCGGTCCCGCTTGTTTCATTGCGGAAATCAATTCTGATAGATAATTCTTACACGTATCTGGTTTACAGATGTCTATTGCGTAGAACTTTACTTTCCTAATAATATCTCTTAACATCCGCTTGCTGCCGGTTGATTGATGCTATTATACAACACCAAACATTTGTTTGAATAACAAGTAATTGAACGATGTGCATGTGTCAATCGGTCATGCGCAGGCAACTTTTTAGGGCACAATACATAAAGCGTTTATAATTCAATCAATCTGGCAATTTACTGTGATTCATAGGAATTGTGTTGTAGCGTAGTACTTATAGTGGCCAGGACGTCAAGCTCAACCAATGCTAGTGCAGTGTTGTTTTACTTTTTCTCCCTTTTTAATTTACCCAATGGGACCCTCATATTACTAGAATAAATGTTATCGCTTATTACATAATCAGAAATCCGTATATCTTGTCCGTAATTTGCGTTGCTTTTGTTTGTTCATTAGGTACTTGGACAGAAAACTGATAGTATTGCGATTTACTGGGATTTACAATAAAACATGTTGACCAGTAGTACTTTTAAATGGTGCAGCTATTTCGGTTGCTGTGAACGCAGCATTTGTTGGAAAAATGTGCTTAGCATAAATCTGCAATAAAGCTAGCTCGTTAGCCCTATAGCCATCACTTTTGCTTGCATGTCAGGACTTTGCATTTTGTTCAGTTCATTCGTGCCTAAAATATAGAGTGGTCAAAAGCCCATATTCTCCCCACCGTATAGTTTCCATATTCTTGGGCATTTTGAAATGCCGATAAAGTGGAAAAACGGAAATTCTTGAGAACCAGTTAATTTGTAATTGGGCACTGAAATCCAGCATTGAATGCATATGGATCTTTGAAACATTCAAGATGCATCATGTAACAAAGCTTGCATCACGCCTTGTTGATGACGTCATATGGAAGATGTTGCGTAACCCTCTGATTTCAGCGGTAGTAAAGAGAAACGTGAATGCACTCCAAACACCTGTGGATCCGTTTGTTTTCTATGTAGACAAGCTATTTGGCTGGGAATCGATTGAGATTTTCAGCAAATATATATATATATATGTACATTATGCATCATGTAACAAAGCTTGCATCACGCCTTGTTGATGACGTCATATGGAAGATGTTGCGTAACCCTCTGATTCCAGCGGTAGTAATGTGAAACGTGAATGCACCCCAAACACCTGTGGATCCGTTTGTTTTCTATGTAGACAAGCTATTTGGCTGGGAATCGATTGAGATTTTCAGCAAATATATATATGTATATATACAATTTGCGGAGAAAATAAAACGCACTCGACACTAGATGGAGCATAGCGCACATAAACGGTAGTGTGATTAAGATATAACTAGAATCAACCACAGAAACCCAATTGAGTGCTGCTAACAGCTAACATTTTGAACGAAACTTTGACCTGCACCTGAACGAGTTACTTTGGCTGAATTTAAACAATCACGGAACTATAAACTATTTCCAATCTAGGAAGGGTCGATGATTTTGCAGGATAAATCGCCCAATAAATGACGATACCTGTTGATTCCCCCTGTGAATCATAGGTGAACAAGGGTAACTTTCCTGGTTTTCTGGCTACTCATGAGTAACATGACTTGCACCTGTTTATTGTGACACCGTTTCGTTTCTTGCTGCTTGTTGCCCCCCGTTTCCTGCCTACATCGAACTGACGCCCTGGGCGGCTGATTATTTTGTATTACCCATATATCGTGCCTGTCAGATAGCCTTGCTGAGCTTTGTTTTAAACGGACGAATCCGCGGAATTTGACCTGTCACGCAACACGAGCGGCCGCGTCGACGCCGACCGAAACATAGTCCCTCACATCCCGAACGTACTGACTCCTGAGCCGTTCCGGCCAACGCACACTGTCTGACTGCCCCTATATGTATAGTCTTACATCGCTTGGTACTTACTTGATGTTGCCCCTATCAAAATCCGTGTTGCGTGAGTGACTATTTCCCGCTCCTGCTGATTGCGTCATTGTTGATTGTACGTTTGCTTAATCCATGATGCTTACTAATCCTTTTGTCTGTAGAGCCAGTTCCTATCAGTCCTCAATATATCATCTGCTCCCCCACGTGTGTCTGCTCCTATTGACTACTGGCCACGAACTGCGTATAATCTAATAGTCGCAATCGTCCTGTGAAATCCATAACCGTCCGGATCTTACAATACCCATAACCAAAAGCATGTGATTTCTAAGTTTACTTGAGTTTGCGAAACATATCAAAAACTATAAAGGTCTGAATTTATTAGCAAATATTGTTGAAAATTGCCGGATTTTTAGATTTTCTGTGGGGAAATGACGGTGATGAAAATGCCGTATTTTCAGTTTTTTTGTGGGGAAATGACGGTCAAATGATCAACAGTCATGAAGTTTGATTCGAAATTTTGTGGCTTATTTTGGCGCTGTTCAATTCATTGTATTTGGTTATCCCGCACAAGATACACCCCAACATCGTCAACCATGTGCGCGTAACCTCGAAGCTGACCTTAGACGATTCGTGGTTTCTTGAGGAAGTTGATGTGAACGTGATCCGGATTAAAACTTCAGAGTGTGAAACGCTGACATTCAGCTGGTTGTTGGTGGAAAAGATGCTAATAACCTTTGCTACCAAACAGCAGATCCATCTAGGCTATTCGCAAATAACGATAAATGTGCAAATCTTCACGAAAACTGGGACAATTTTGAATATGACGCTGAACTCAGGAATCGAAGTTCTTCCTGAAAAATGACTTGTGCAATGACGAGTTTTTGTTTTTTCTACGCACAAGCTTATGTATCTATCACATTTATATATAGAAAATGAAGTTCATGATATTCAATTCATAATATTCAGTTCATAAATATCAAGACCACGATGAACACTGTGCACAGAACCACCAGTGCACTAGCTGAACCTCACGCGGGATTTCACAACTGGCTTGATTTTACTAAATTGCATACATGCTTTTCTTCGTTCTTATTGTAAATATTTATGATACTTCAGTAGGCTAGAAGCGAAGCAAGGAGCCTGGTACATTCACACAGCTCACGATTCAATGTTCTGAAAAAGGCCCTTACCACAGCTCTTAAGCACATTAAAAGATTTATGGTAATAAACACAGAAACTACGCCCAAGCTTGTTTTTGGGGACGACAAAATGTAGATGAGAGATGAATATTAAGGAAAAATCGTGTAGTATTAATCCATATGTGTAAATTAAAATACGCTGGAAATTTTGGTGACAACACGGGGGTGTTCATCGCTGTTGCTGGATATTTGATTTTCAAGGTGCATTTGCTGCAAAAAACTACCCATGTAGATATTCCTCCTTGTTGTAGAAAATAATTTGGGCGTCGGAGTTTAATTGGAAACCGAGGGGTCCATAACTCCTAACTTACGAGCTGTTTTACAACAATATCAGGATATTGCATTATTTGCCATTATAATTAGTTATGATTAGATATGATTAGTTATAACTGATTGTAATTAAATTTTACAAGTGACCGAAGTTAAAATTGTGCGCTCGCGAAACAACCCCAAAATTTTTGGGGTCCGTGTGCCACAATGAATCAGTTAGGGTAACTAAATCAAGGGAAGGACGAGAATGGTTGCGCTCTGAAGTTAGCTTATAGTGTTCACTCACGGNAGTGACGTCTTGTCCCGTTCGATTATGCGAGTTTACGGAGAGCGTAGAGTAAATACACATTTTAGGGGAAATTGTCTGTGTGCATCCGCAGAAAACGCAGATTTCTTCTTTCGTTTGCCTTCGTCCAAGCATTTTACTTGTGACCAGGTGAATGAATCTGGCTCATACAAGTGTGCTCAGAATTACCTACAGAAAATAGGATCTGGTGTAACTTTACAGCGTTTCATATCGATATACTGGACGTGGCGCTTACCTTTTAGGGGAAGTGGTCTGTGTGCATCCGCAAAAAACGCAGATTTCTTTTTTCGTTTGCTTTCGTCCAAGACTTTTACTCGTGACCAGATGAATGAATCTGGCTCATATAAGTGTCCTCAGAATTACCTACAGAAAATAGGATCTGGTGTAACTTTACAGCGTTTCATATTGGTATACTGGACGTGGCGCTCTGATGAACCTCCTATGCGTCCTAGATGCATTTCGTTCGATCATTCGATTCACTGGTAATTTTGAGGAATGGAGAAAAGCTAATTGTTACACTTTTTGTTAGCATCGCCCATCTTACGTAGATCTGGGTACAACAGGTTTTATTGTGTAAACCTGATATTCCCGCAATACTATACAAGAATACCGATGTGTTGGTAAGAGCGGCGATTTAACTTTGATCCCGCGATCCATCAAAATGCTGATCAAGCAAGTCAGCTTTCCAGTGTTATTGCCCGACGAATCATGATGCGTCCGTGATCTCTTTCCGCTATTTTCACGATTGTTTCGCATAGAGAGCATAAATGAAGTGCGGTATTGGGCTAGGGAATGCGTCGGACAGGACGTCAAACATGAATGATTCCATGTCCGAAATATCTTACCAAAGGTAACGTGGGACTGACTTTGCGGTCTAATGAACGATGTTTGTTGTCCAGAAGCTCGTTCATTTATCTTCCAATCCAGCTCTCCCAACCCACGTAGGACATTAGGTTACTAA